TAACTACAAAATCATAGGGAGAGATGGAGAAAAGAATAAAGCTTTTATATTAATATATTTTCCATTTTCTAAACAAATACTACCCAAAACTGATTCAAGAACAGAAAACTTAAGCCAATAATCAATGGGAAAAAATGAAGTATAAAATTATTGAGAATACTCAAATAATTTACTGGCAAATTTTATTAAATTCTCAATAAATACATCAATGTTTTCTAAATTGCTGAGCAAGGAGAAGAAATATTCCAATTCTTGCTACGAAGCCAGCATAATTCTCATGTTAAAACTGAGCCAGGATTTGTTTCCCCGGGCAGTGCTGGGGAGGTAAGCATTCTATCACTAAGCTATCTATGCCCTGCCCAAGAATAATTTAAGAGATAAGTGGATAAATCTTCCAACAAGGATGGATAAACTTAATAGATGCTGAATCCCTACATAAACATTAGCAAATAAAATATAGCACTAAATTACAAAATTAATACAACTCCAGAAAAGTACCATTCTAGATCTTGCAGAATAATTAGGAGTTTTTAAAAAAAATCTGCTCAATATAATTCTCTAGGAATTTTAAAAAACCTTTTTAAAGAGGATTTCTCAAGAGCCTCCTACAAGTATTTAATAGTATATATAATACCAGAGCTACTCCAATCAAGTCAGGAATAAGCAAGAATACCCCATATATCTCTACCATACTATTAAAATTTATTATGAAGATCTTGGCCAATGTGAAAAAGCTAAAAAAAGAGAAACAAGCCAAATATTAGAAAGAAATAGATAAATCTGCCATTATTTTCCAATACAGCTGTCAAAAATCTAACACAACTGACTGAAAAACTGTTTTCAGAACAAAAATAATTTGGCAAAGTAACCAGATACAGAACAAATATTCAAAAGTCAGTGGCTTTCCTACATACCAACAATAATCAACTAGAAAATATAATTGGCTGGAAAATGCCATTTCTATGAGTAACACAAGCTTTAAAACACCGAAAAGTAAATCTATTAAGAAATGTGCGTGACCCCCAAAATGGCTGTGAAATTTTTCTAAAAACATCAAAGACCTGAATGATGAAGAGGCTCATTTCTGCGTGGGAATTTAACATAAATTCGTCACTTCTCTAAAAATGAATCTATAAATTCCATGTGATTTCAGTCAAAATCCCAATGGGACTTGAAAGACCTTATGGAGATGATACAAAGCTTATGCAGAAAAACAGTTTTTTACTAGTCTGTAGTATAGACTGTGTGCTTTATAAAAGAATAACATAATCTCACACTAAGAGGGTACAATAATTAAAACAGTTGAAAACAGTGCAGAATTAGGTGAAATGTTTAATTTAAAAGAATAAAAAGCCCGGAACCAGATCCATGTATGTTAGAGGAGTTACAAAGCTGGGAATGTGTCATCTGAAATCCCCGGGGAAAGGACCAATTGTTCAGTCAGGAATTACCCCACCACCATGCCCTGCTCTCCAGTGATGCTCTGCTCAGTTCTGCAAGCTCTGCAAGCATCACTTCTGTTTTTACATCATGTACTATGTCTATCCTTGGTTTTGACTGACAGCTTTGTTTTGCCATATTAGACTTTATTCTCTTCCGAAAAAAAAAGTAGTAAGAACTAAGGAGTAATAAAACCCAAAATGTGTAAATTTTGTTGTAAAAAAGAGAGGGAAAAAAAGTGCTCTAAAGGATACAACTGCAAGTGTGTTTAGGGGTGTTAAATAGCTGACCATATTAATGTTTTTGGTTGGATCATTGAACACAACTGTTTGCAGTCTCTCTGTTTGAATGTCCACTTTGTATGCTTTGACACTGTGACTTGAGCAACTATCTCTAGGATGATAATATGTAATCTATTAACTGGTGATTTCTTACTGTTTTTTTTTTTTTTTTTTTTTTTTGTAGTTCTGTATTACTTGTACCCTTACACCACTTTGTTTTGTTTTGTTGTTTTTTCTCTTTTTCCTTTTAAATAAAATTTTAAAAAAAAGAGTTTAACTTGAATGTAATTCAAGGAAAGACTAGACAGAACCAAAATCGAGGGATGTTTTATAAAATAAGTAGACAAGAGAGCCTTAGAAATGTCAAGGTCGTGAAAGGCAAAGACTGAAAATCTCCAGGTTGAAAGAAACTAAAGAACAACAGGAAAATGGAATTCCACTTGTGATTCAGAATTTTCTTATCCTGTAAAAGGTGCCAGAATAGATGGTGAAAAATGAACAAAGTCTGTAGATTAGCTAATACTACCTATGTTAATTTTATAATGCAGTCACTCGCTGCTGTGACATAAGTGAATGCTCCTGTCTGTATGAACACAGCCCATCTTGAAGTACGGAGGGGTTCACAGGGGATCATGCCTGCCACACAGTCTCAGAAGCCTTAGAGTTTTTATAGGAGAAGGAGAGACAGGAAGAAGAGAAGAGGTAAAGAGAGTCAACGATGGAGCAACATGGGAACTGTTACCACGTGGGGAGCACAAGCAGAAGATAGGGGAATTCTCTACCCTATGCTTACAACTTCTCCATAAGCCTGAAATTACAGCAAAATCAAATTTTTAAAAGGAAAATAAAAGTTATGACATTCCTTAGGACAGCCATGATTTCATCCTTAAATGCCATTATTATAAGCCAGCTCTGGGAGTGATAAACACCAAATCCTCCATTGTGGTTGCTTTAGGAGACTGAAGGGACTGAGGCTGAGAAGGAGGTTTCGATCCCTGTCACAAAGTTTTAGTAACTAAAATCAGATATGGTAAAAGCAAATACATCAGGTGAGTAAGTGAGCAGATAAAAGGGAGGCACCTGGGCAAATACGTGAAACTAAATTCCAGATGGATTAAATAGCCAAACAACAAAAAGATTCTGAGAAACACTAAGTAAATAAACTATCTCAGCTGATCCTTTGAACAACTGGATGATGCAGGAGCTTGCCGTTTGGAAAAGGTTTGGTCACCGGCCCAAGAGACCTTCCCGACTCCCAGTCCTGTACCGGGTTCTATCTTTCTGCACTACTCACAGCACAAGTTCCTCTGCCCTTTGCAACTCCTGCCCATTAAACTTTACAAAATAACCCAGCAGCTGCCAGACTCTAGGAGATCCCAGACACATTCTTTCAACAAATAATTATTACTCTTTGAGTTCTTTTTTTGGCTCCGTAGCAGACACTTCACTTATTTTAAACTTCACACCACTGAGGTAGCTTTCACTGTTCCCACTTTTGAGCTAGCGTAACTGAGGTTCAGATTCTGGGATTCATCAGGCAGCACTGAGATTGGGACCCAAATCTCTTTGGCTCTGAAGCCTCATCGCTGGCCCAACCAACCTGTGCCTTCCACTTCCCTGGAGAAAGAAATACTACCAACCAGCGGCCTCAGGCCAAGCGCTGTCTTCCCTGGGACAAATGCATCCATCCAAAGATACTGACAAGAACAGGTCCCGTATGCTTCTTGGACAGCCAGTAAGCTCACTGCCTGACTCTCAAGAGACAAATAAACACGAACATGATTCATTCAACAAACACTTGTTAAGCAGCTACTAAATGCCAATCCCAGGGACACTGCCAGGAACTAGGGAGACTTTCGCATCACCATCAAAGAGTGTGTAGTCCAAGAGTTAAACATTTAGTCAATCAATTAAGGCTGACTGGGGCTGCGGAGGAAGGGAGGAGACACGGGGGCTCACCATGCCTCACTTTCCCAGAGGCAACACAGAGGCCTCGAGAGAACTGTTTCTTCAAAGGTTACCGGCAGTAAGTGCAAGACACAAATTCAGCGTTTCCAACCCCGTTCCCTGGCTGTGTCCTCTGCTGTGACATGCATACTCTGGACACAGTGCTGGAGAGTCCCAGGCCCACTGGAGGGCAGGTGGTGCTTCTGCCCCTGGGAACAGTGCTCATCCCAATGTGGCTTTGTGGGCAGCTGCCAAGGGTGTCAGCTGTACCCTCTCCTGGCCCTGGCCCTTGGCTGGCCTTTCTCACTTTAGCTCCTGAAATGACATGCTCACCTTGGCCATTGCTCCCCTTACTGAACTCGGTAGAGTTGGGCACGGTGTCATCTGGGGGGCTCTAGCCACAGACATCAGCATGAGCCGAGTCTCAAGAGTGGCCAAGGCTGGGAACCCCACCACCAGGGGTCCTGGGCCATAAAGCAGCTTCCTGCAGGCAAGAGAACCCTGGCCACAGCCCCAACCAGCCACAGGGGCTCCACAGCTAGCCACCTGCAGTCCCTCTCATCCCTGACAAACCAAGGATCTTATGGCCTTTCATAAATCAGGCCCTGTTCTGGCTTGCACTGGGGGAGGGCCAGCTGGACCAGATCCTGAGCTCCACTCCACCACTCTCAGTCCGTTCTCCTCTTCATCCCACATGGCGTCTTCTTGGAGCTGCCACAGCAAATGAGCATACATAGCGTAAAGCACTGTACAAACACAGGACACCCCGGCAGCCCTCGTTCTCCATGCTCAGACCAGGACCAGGTCTTCCCAGACTCCTCCCATCTGTTGTGAGTCACAACAGCCCAGGAATTCACTTAATTCAGCACGAATCACTACCCACATCTGCACCAAGTGCCTGAAGACCTGGCTTCACCCACCACCCAGAAGGCACACACCAAAGGGGATCCCTTTTAAAGTCCCCCCAAGGGGCTGGGGATTTAGCTCAGCGGCATAAGCGCCTGCCTTGCAAGCAGGCAGTTGTGAGTTTGATCCCTGGTACCAATAAAAAAGAAAAAGACAAAACAAAACAAAACAAAAAAAAGTCCCCTCGGAGACTGCGTTCCCTTCCAACGACCCCAATGGGAGAATATGTTTGGCATTTGCTCTCTGCAAACAAATTATTCTCAACGATGTTTTGCTTCAGTGACAAGTGACCAGCCTGTCATGCTTTCCATTAACCAAGTACTGGGCTCAAGCACAGCCTTTATGCTTTGTCCACTTTGTCTTCACACTGACAACAGAGGTTGATAGAACTGTTATCCCTACTTTTCTTTTCTTTTTTTTTTTTTTTTAAATATGGAACGCTTCATGTATTTGCACGTTATCCTTGTGCAGGGGCCATGCTAATCTTCTCTGTATCGTTCCAGTTTTAGTATATGTGCTGCCGAAGGGAGCACATATCCCTACTTTTCAAAGAGCAAGTGTCACTGGCTGGTTCAGCCAAGGGGCAGCCATGGTGAAGCACAGGGTCCTCCAACCTCCTGTAGCCCCGTGACAGCACACAGAGTCACCGCAGGCCCCACGAACCACTCTTGTGACCCTCTAGTCATCCATCCTCAAACGCCATTCCTCCAGGGGCCTACCTGTCCTCCACCCTTGTGCCTGCTCAACCAGTCACTCTCGACCCTGGGCTTGCCAGGGTGACTCCCCGACAATCTCAAATCCAAGAATCCTGTCCCAGACTCCCAGACCTTCCCATCAACTCTGGGCCCCCAGGACTGACAACACACCCCAATCACCCCTGCCCCTCCCATCCATGTCCCATCCCTCACTGCTGCCCTTCTTGGTTAAAGCAAAGCCTGGCCCAGTAATACCCCTACACACACACACACACACACACACACACACACACACACACAAAAGCACAGCTCTTCAATCCTCAGCTCTCTCTACCCTTTCACTCCTTGGCAAAACCCAAGTCAACCCCTCCTCACACTGGAAGCACACAGACAGCCAAGTGGGCTTGTCCCACTTTAAATCGTGACCACAATCCTCCAGTGGACTCCTAGTATAGCCAAGGATTTCCCTCTACCGCTCACAGTCCTTCTGGAGCATTTGAGCCTCTCACTTTTCTCCTTAAACTTCAATCAGCCTCCTCTCTGCTCCCCCAGCTGCCTTCACTGAGAAATTAAAGCGACTGGAAGAGAAGGACTCGTCGTCCCACCACCACCTCTAACCCCCTCCTCCATTCGTCTGCACAGAACCCCTCTGCCTTGCCACCAACTGTACCTTCCTGGGCGCATGTGGGGTCCATGCCCTCTTGTCAACTCAAGGTCTCCACACCAGCAACTTCCCTTGCCCTCCTGTAACATATCTTCCTTGTCCCCCAGACCCTCTCACATCACAGCAAAGAGACTGCCACACCAGCACCGAGTCCAAGTCCCTCCATTTAACTCTGTGCGCCTACAGAGTTCCTCCTAGTGTATCCACGGTCTGGATAGCTCTCCCCCAACCTGCATGCCTTAATTCTGCTCCTTACCAGCCACCCCTGCCATGTCAGCTGAGATCATTCTCCTTGAGGTCGCTGGTAGTCAGTGCTGCCAAACCTGCCAAACCATGGACAGCTCACCTTCTTTCATAAATATTCTCTTCTTGGCTCTGAGGATCCCTCCTCTCTCCTGATAACCTCCCTCAGGGACTGGCTCCTCCTCTTCTCCCTGTCAGAGGCTCCACCACCTGCACTCCACAAAGAAGCTCATCAGGTACACAGTCAAATGCCACCTAGGTGCTGTTGATTCATCAGTTTTCTATTGGGGCTGTGGACTCATCTCCAACTGCTTTCTTACCCTCAGGGCTTGGCATCTCAGAGGCACCCTCAATGCCTGTGTAAGGAGTACTATATTCCATCCCATCCCAGCAGTTCCTGCTCCCAGGTCTCACCTCCTCAAGCAATAGTGCCTCCAGCCATCCCATGTCTAGGCCAAAAACCTAGGCTGGGTGGCCAATAGCTCCACTCCCTGTCACCATCCACAACCAACCTGCAGAAAGTCCTCCAGCTGTAATATCAACATTCACCCCACACCTGGCTTTTCCATCAGCTCTCCACAGCCCTCTCCAAACTGGTGCTACTTCTCATAGTATTCTCAATTCCATTTTTTCCCCATGCAGCAGCCAAAGGATTCTTTTAAAATGTAAATCAGCTTCTAACACCCCAGCCCCAAACTTTACCCCTTTTCAGTAGCTATAAAATTGTCCACAATACAGTTACTCCACCTACCCAGCTGCCCTATCTCATCCTCACCACAGGGGCCTTTTTGCTGGTCCTTTAGTGCTAGCTCATTCCAACCTCAGGACCTTTGCATTTACTGTTCCTCCACTTAAGAGCGCTTTTCTCTACCAATCACAAGGTTTTCTTCTTCATTTCATTGAAGCTTGTCTCTCAGAGTGGTCTTTTCTGACTCACAATCTCAAAGAGTCCTTCACCCAAGTCTCTGGCCCTCTCTGTATCCTGGTCCCATTTCATCTGTCTTCATAGCACTTAACATTATCTGAATTCTATTACTTAGCCGTTTCATCTCTGCGAGGCCAGGGATCTCATCTTATTCACTGCTGTGATCTCAATGCCCACAACAGTCCCTGGCCCTCAGCAGGCGATCTATAAATACATGTTGGATAAATGAACTCACAAATGAATGAATCAATCAGTGTACTAAATAGCCTCCCGTCAGCCAGAGAATGGAGAACAGCACAGCCTGACAGAAATATAAAGTCAGCCACAATGAAATTTTAAATCTTCTAATAGCCACATTTTAAAAATTTTAAAAAGAAACAGTAAAATTAATTTTGGTAATACATCTTTATTTAACCCAATATATCCAAAAATGATTATTTCAACATGATAGCAATTGAAAGAATTATTAGTGAGATGATTTCATACTGTTTGGTACTTAAGCTTTGGAATTTGGCGTATATTCTATACTTACAGCATATCTCAATCTGGGCTCAATTTCAGGGGTCCCATGTGGTCATGGCTGTTGTTATCTGCACAGACTTGAAACAGGAAGCTGAACACCACACTTGCACACCTAACCCTTTCCCAGATACCTCATAGCTCTGGGGCTAAAGCTCCAGCTCCTCAGCCAGCACAGGACCTGTCATCCACCGGCCTTGAACCTTGTCTGTCCACCAGGCCCCTCCACCAAACGCACCCTCCAACTATGCCATCCGCTCCCTGCCTCTGAGCCCTGGTACACGGTGCTGTCCCTAAAACACCCAGCTCCCTGGCAGCATGTGTGTGCTCCTGGAAGGCAGGAACCCCTGTTCCTCTGTGGGGTGCACACAACAGGGGCTCCAGGATCACTGAGGGTAACTCTCTGCCCACTTACACATTGCACCACCCACAAAACAGGGCCACAACATAGTGTCCCCACCACCTGCTTTGTCCTAAACCCAACCACTATTGAATTCAAGGAAACCAAAATTCCATTTAAACTCTGTATCTCCATTAGTCTAATGGCGGGGAGTCAGATAATTAACACACAATTTAATGTGAAATATTCCACGTGATTATCTGGCCTTTATGCTTCCTTTTCTTAGCTAAAGCAAGGCCAAAATCCAGGCAAGAGAAATATGGAAAAACTGGTCTTGTTGGATAATCATAACCTGGAGCCCTAAGGAGCAGCAGTTCAATACCAACACCCAAGGCACCGAGTACCCAAAGGGACAGCGACACCATTATAAGAGAAAGATCAGCTGTAAGGGAGACAGAGCAAGGAATGTGAGCCCCTGAGCCTGTGGCGCCACCTCACCACTCTGATGGATGGGAATGTGGACGTGTTCCTGCACACACTAACAAATCTGAACAAACACCCTGTCTCCACAGGGCACTGTGCCATGTCCTGGGACACAACCTCAAAGGGTAGAAATTTTACTTGACTGTGTCTTCTTAAAATGGCAACAATATCTTATCATTCAAAAATCAACCTGCTGCTGAGTATGGTGGTGCATGTCTGTAATCCCAGCATTCAGGAGGCTGAAGCAAGAGGACCATTGAAAGTTTGAGGCCAGCCTGGGCTATACAGTGAGTTCAAGAACTGCCTGTACTACAAATCGAGACCCTATCTCCAAAATACCAAAATAATAATAACTATAATAATTAACCTGCTTCTTTTGGCCAAATTTCAAAAATAGGAGACCTCTGAATCTATGAAGTTTATCATGATGAGGTTAGTGCTTCTCTGAAATTTTAAAAACTCAATTTAAAATAGCAGAACTGGGATTAACCATAGTTTTAAATGCATGAACCTAACATGACACTTGTATGACTAAACAAAACACACAAAGCTCTTCCTTGCTTTAAATGAGTTAAGCGACATCATATGCACAAAAACTAGCAAATGATAACCTGGCTATATATTTTAGTCACCTCCATCCCAAATTTCCCCAAGTCTTGGACATAGAGAACATTTAACACTAGAATGTAGCAAGAATAAATGAACGACAGCCACTCTGCATCACACCTAGATCCTCTCCCAGGACTCAGGTCAAGTCAGCTATCAATGCAAAGCTTTTACTCGTCAGAGGAAGAAGAGGCCAAGATAAACATGTTCTGAGTTGCTGGCTATTCATACAATGTTGTGTGATTGCTGCTTCCAATGTTCCTCTTAAGAGGCCATTCTATTATTTAAAAGCATCAGCAATGACAAAGCTGGTATCAGGAAATACTTCCATAAAGCACAGATTCATCACCAAATCATTTCTTTATCTTTGGGAGGCATCAACTAATAGCACAGGAGGCCGGAAGGGCTTCAACCCTGTTCTTCTTGAGCGCTGGGAAAACTGAAGCCCAAGAGCACAGCTTGGATTTGAACACAGGACTCCAAGACCAGCCTGGTCCACCTGTAATTTGTCCCCCACAAGAGTCAGGAAAACCCAGAAAAATAACAGACCCAGAAGCAGTCTGGCCAGGCTAGGCCAGGCTAAAAGGGAACAGGAAGGAACAGGCATTATTATATGGCTTGGCTGAGTCCCTATGTTTCTACTAAGTCCTTTAGCAAGACCATGAAATCAGGGGACAGCTACACTCACCCACCAGGTGGGGACTTCCAATGTGCACTCTGATACATAAAGTGCTTCAAAGTCACTCCTGTCCTCGCAACAAGAAAAAGATGGAAAAAGTGAAAATGGACAACTTTTCTTAGATCCATTGGAGAACCAAAGTCACAGACCAGTCACTGTGAAAACTACAGAGACAAGCATGTTATGGCTGGATCAGTTCGTTAAAGGTTGTCGGCCTGTGGTGCTGCTGAGAGTAGGCAGAATCGTTAGGGTAGGCCCTGGTGGAAGGAAGTTAAAAGTCACTTGGGCCAAGCTCTTGAAAGGGATTCTCTCTCTCTCTCTCTCTCTCTCTCTCTCTCTCTCTCTCTCTCTCTCTTCTCTCTGTCTCTGTCTCTGTCTC